GGCACCGACCAATAAAATTTCCCATCTCTGCTTAACCATCGAAGTCCACCAAGGTATTCCCCTATATAATAAAGAAATTCACCCAGTTTGAACATTCTAGCCCAGTTAGAAGCAGAGTTATATCATGTTCAGGAAAGATAGATAGAGGGACAGACAGAGAGACTGACCGACGGTCGAGCCCTTTTTATAGTCCTTCAACGGACATTGTTTCAGATATAAAGATGGGCTGACGTGTGAATATAAAATCAATAATGTAATAAAACTCAAACCAGAATATTTCTCTTGTGTTTAATATTAATTCAGTTTTTGGTAAGTTTCAAATTTCATAAAATTACTGGTACATAATCCAGTGAAAAGATAGTACAAACCAGTGATGGGATTTTGCCCGTATATTCCGGACTTGTCCGAATCTTTTTTCCAAACGCCCAAAATTGTCCGACCGGGAATATGCCCAATCGGACATCAAGACATGGTGAATAATATTCAAAATTAATATAGTTTACTGAGTGTATAACTACCACTCAACCCGATTATCGTCGATAATACGCTGGGTTTATTAGGTAATTAAGTGATCAACGTATTTATCGTGTTATACCGTCTATAGTATAAACCTACCTTGATTTAACTACTTAATCTGCCTTGATTGACTGACTTAATCCTTTGTCGGACAATTCATCAATCTAATCTTAAACAGAAATCGTTGCTTTCCTTTTGTCGGACTATTCATCAATTCAATAAGAATGATTATAATTTTAATCCACCTCATTTGTCGGGCATCTTAATCGCATTGATGTGAGCCGACATCATCTATAATAAACTAATCATAGATGTCACATATCGTAAGAGTAAATAACACCCTAAATCAATGGACAGTCTCGAGCGCGGCACGAATATTGCTTAACATATTATTAGGCAGTGCTTACTATGAAGCCGTGTGATGAGTCACGTAGGCTATTAGTCTCTATTATCCAGAAAAATATTCTACGAATATGTTGAAGACTAAGAGTTTCTGGGTGACCGAGACTAGTACGCACCCAGCAAAATAACAAAAAGGGGAGGGGCTACCAATAGCTATATGAGCAGAAATTCTGACGTATTTGTAGGCGTCAATCATTCTGCTGTGTTGCCTATGATGCGTGTCACTCTGTCGTGACTATGAAAAGTTAGCTATGCCTGTTTACAAGTGATTTAACTATTTCGGAAGTTCTGCATTCATATTTTGCTGCCGTATAAACGAAGACACGTAATTCTAAAGGAATATTATGGTTGTGAATTTGATGCCGAAGCAGGATCGGCAAGCTTTCATTCAACATATCACGAAAATGCTTAATTTTGTAGGACATTTACTGACCTAAATTTGAATGCCGTACGGGAATTAAGTGTGAAAAATAGCGAGGTCACCAATTTTTATTACGTACGGGATTTGAATATTTTGTTGACATGTGGTTTTTAATTGTGGTATGAATTGAATACTGTACGGGAATTAAATATGAAAAATAGCGAGGTTCACCTATTTTTATTACGTACGTGATTTGAATATTTTGACATGTGACTTTTAATTGTGGTACGAATTCGTCTTCTTAAATAACGATAAGAGTTATGCCCCTTTATTTTCGGTAAAATGTCCGACAAGTAAAATTTTGAAATCCCATCACTGGTACAAACCAATAATTATTACCGGATACTTCACTGGAAATAAATATATTATTTTATCTAGCAACATGTCTTTATGATGACAACACGGGTTTAAACATCATATAATACTTTTATTTTTCTTTAAACATTATCATGTACAAGACTTCTTAGTTACCAGGTTCCTTGTCTTGTAGCAGCCTGTTTCCAGATCGGGATTCCAGACCGGCGCGGTCCCCACTCCAACCAACTTACATGGCTCTGGTTCTAGCCTTAACCCAAGGCGGCCATGGCCTTCATTGAATTATCTCTCCTTTTGATTCCTGCTTATAAACCCCTTCTAGAAAAATGATCTCACAGGATTACACATCTGGCTATTGCCACATCAATCGTTCAGTACAGATTGCTTTACAACACAAAGGACATTATGTAACCCGGCCAGCTTTAATAACTAATGACTTGGATATGCCTCATTCTATAGATCCACCTACTTCATACTTTGAGAATAGATCTCTGTGCTGAGTGGCCGCCATATCTAAAAATAATTAGTATATTGCTGCGTAATTCTGTTCTACTTGGTTTCACATCCGGCATACACACAGAGACTAAATAAGTCTATTCAATCCCTTTAAATAAAAGCAGACTAAGTACTTCTCAAAATTTTCGAAATATACTTAGTATTTTCGACTAAAATCGTCGATTTAGGATTCAAAATGTCGGTTAAATAGCTTAGTGTCTGTTCTCAAGCGGAGCTAACTGTAGACAGGCAGTCTAAGGTTAGTATGGGATATGGCTGTGTCCAGCCCTGCCAGTGTCGCACACTTGGTGTTAATGTATGTTAAAGATGTATTTATCCATTTCATTAGCCAAGGCGTTAAGTGACATTTTCCTAAATAATCTCGAATTTTGTAACAAAAGGCTAATGGCTGAAAACAATACCAGGTAATATAGTTTTCATATACCCCCATTAAAGCCCGCCTGCTTGTCAGTTTCACAAATACCATTAGTGAAACACATCAGTATTTCACTGCTCTATAATTGAAATGAAAAACCGGTTACCGCCCTACTGTTTCACACCCACTCAGTTTATGTAGACGGGCTTACGCCATGCAGTGTGTTATGAAAGACATTTTGCCCATACAGCGGCGCTACGACCTACTCTTATATCGTATTCAACCTGTCAAGGGATCTTTTATGTGCACAGCAACGTATACATATGATTTAGAATGAAACAAATAAAATAAAACCCCAAGTACGAACAATCCAAACCACTAGACAAAATTCGAAGTCCTAAAAAAACAAAATAGTGTAATCAGCAAATGGACTGTTCACCGTGTACAAATTAATTGTAGTGATGTGATAATATATTAAAAGTAAATGAATTAAAACGAAAAGCGTAATTATAGCATACATCCCTTTTCTATGAACACCGGATATAACGATATCAGTTAAATCTGCGAAATAAAACCCTCTCTAAGCGCAAGAATTCAATAGAACTCGGTGAGGTTGCGGTAAAAATTGTGGAAAACAGCCTCACGTACGCTCTCAGTGAGCGCAAAATCGTACCCCCACCACCCCCACACACACACACACATATCCACCATTTACCACGTTCTAACTGCGCAATGAAATGAAATCAAGAAAGCTAAAAGAAAATAAAACCTTCACATGAAGACCACGACTTCGCTAGGACTACGACCCCGCTCACAGTACACATTCACCACGCTGTCCCCACTCTAGCCACGCTTTTCTTTTCACCACTACCTCGCTCTACACGGGTAGGGTGTTTGTTCATACTTGCGTAGTGAGGTCGTGGTCTACCACGCTCTCGACATTCCTACCATGATCCCACCACGCTATTACTAAGGCTGTTTTTGTCAAGTCGTAGCGAGGTTGTGGATATGTTTGGATAAGGCACACTGATCCGCAGTGAATATTCGCTATAGGCCGCTATAATCACTTAGTGAACCCCGAATATTAACTTTTTTCCTCCGACAAATTAAATTCTAAAACATTTTTTGTATGTATTCGAAAAATAAATAAAGACGTTTGAAGTATTTGTAGGTAAAAATTATGTCCTATTTAGAGTAAATGGGTATTAAAATGAGTAAAAGGCATCATTCTACTCGAACCAGTAAGGTCTTATGTAAACAATGCACGCGCCATTGACCCAATGATTGACGCCGCGTGATGTGACGTCACGTGTTGAAGACGGTCATCTTTTACAGAGGTATTAGAAGACTGGTGTGAAGGGTGTTATAAGCAATAAAGCAAGGTACCAAATTATAATAGTGTTACACGAGGTGGCTAGGGAGGGGTACCACAATCAATAGCCTATACATGTATGCTCAACATTCCTTTCAACTAATACTTCTTCACGAATCAAAAATGCATTGATCATATCAAACGCATCTCGACGAGGGTGGGGGGTTGAATGGTTAGCACATGCTCGCTGTATCATAAAGCCTGTCATTGAGTCAACTGGCCTGTTTTCGATTCCCCGCTTGTATGTGACAAGGAGTAGGGTCGCATGTCCAACCTCGTGGGTTTTCTCTGGGTCGGCCGGTTTCCTCTCCTACGCGCAAGTGAATTATTGAAAAAAAAAAATTGAACCATGTGTTAGTTCCGAAATGACCTAGTTTGTTTCGAGTGGACGTTAAACAGCATTTCTCTCTCTTTCTCTCTAAATGGGCGTTGTGAAGGTGGTGGCTACTCGTTCACCAGACAATTCTGTAGAAATATCGTGATTATGGTAACCACAATTTGATCTGTAGCTGGCATCAACATCGAAAGCCACATATGTACAATGGTACATAGTATAAATATCTAATTAATAATTTAGATAACATTTAAGGCCTCAGCATTAAGCCGATTTAGCATCTTTAAATAATAGCAAATTATTCTGACTTGCACAGAGACTTTTTATCTCTCTAAAATAGTTAAATTTCGTGTATGATTTCTTCGCTACACCCTGCATGAAATATACCTCATACAAAACAAATTGTTCTTTATGGTAAGTACGTAGGCCTATATCACAACTTGATGAATATAAAATGAAATTTTAAATCTATATATATATATTGTCTTCTCTTGTGGTGTATAATTTCTAGTGCTAATATAAATGGGGGGGGGGTGTAACGTACTGTTTAAGATGATGTGAATACCAAGTCCAAAATTGTTAGGTAACTAATAACACACTCGAATTAAAGACCAAGGAGGTATTGGTGGTTGTCTCTTTAATCAAGATGGTGTCGCTTAGTCAATTTTGGTAAATAGTTATTTACAGTGTTGCGTAGTAATGTTTCAGATATTTGTGGTGAATCACATAAATTGATTACGCATCGTGTTAAGGTCAGGATGACAACTTCTAGACTGCATTTCGCGACTAACTTTAAAATATTATTAATAAATTGATTTGTCGTAGTTAAACAAGTTGGAAATTAAACTGAAATATGCAATAAAAAATAAAATTTTAATAACGTGTTTATCCACATAACGCTATTTACTTCAGCTAAAATAAAACCAATTTTCTCTCATTAAAGCTGTTGCCATCTATTAGGTTTAAAAGAGATCGCAGCTACAATATTCTTTACTTGTTTTTGACTCCAGGTTGAAGATTCATCAAGATGTGTACTTTGTGGCTGATTTCCTTTGTCGTTGTGCTGGCTTCCATGTTACCAAGCTGTAATGCAAGTAAGTATTACTATTTCGTAGCTAAATGGTTTAAGTACCTCTGATTTCTGTAAGATCATATTTATAATTGCCATAAATGAAAATTGTGACATCAATACTTGATTTAGATATACATTGTTTGTTTTTATTGTATTTTAAAAGCTGTTAATTGCAATGTCGACCATGTTTTCGTACATGTATGATGCAGTTGATGTTTTTACCTGTACGGTTAACATTTGGAATGTATCCTGTAAGTCTGAAACTGAGTGAGAAGAGAGAGAGAGAGAGGGAGGAGGGGGAGAAAGAGAGAGAGAGAGAGGGGGGTTATCGCAAGGCCCAGCTTAACCGGAGCGGGGCTCTGGGCCTGACTAGAATCGCGGGGCCCCTAACGCGACGAAATGATTATTTCATGACCTTTTGAACGGCCGGGTTTCGACCAATCAAAGAGAAGGTTGAGGGATTGCAGACTCACAGTCTCCGCCCATCGCGCCGTTAAAAGCCTAGACCGATCACCGAGTGGAACTTCATAGGGAAGGTTGAGGAATAAATTACCGTAAACCTTTCATCTGGAATTTGAATTTTTTCTTTTTTTGCCATGAACATCGGGAGCCTGGGCTGGGTCCCTCAAGCCCATGCCTAAGTTAGGCGTTGGTTTAACGTCCACTCGACACAAACTAGGTTATTTTTCGGGACTAACATATGGTTCAATTTTATTTCAATAATTCGCGTGCGCGTAGGGGCCTTTAGCAGTAGGAGGAAACCGGAGGACCCGGAGAAAACCCACAAGGTTGGGCAGGTGACCCTATTCCTTGTCGCGTACTCCCATAGTGTATCTTTAATTGAGCGTAACATATGCTAATATATGTAGAGCTCTGGTTAATCTCGATTGATTTGGTTAGGTTGTAGTGTATTGGTTGTTGATCATAGTGCCGCTGCCCAGGCAAAATTACCCTCATAGCACACTGTATGGCGTATGCCCTTCGTCATTATCCCAGTCGGGGCAGAATACCCCATTTCATTTCATGTCCATTTCTAGGTGCCAAAGAATAAATATTTAGCTACTTTAAATATGGAATATATCTAAATATGAGAGAGAGAGAGAGAGAGAGAGAGAGAGAGAAATGGGGTTTAACGTTCACTCACACAAACTAGGTCATTTCGGGACTAACATATGGTTTAATTTTATTTCAATAATTCGCTTGCGCGTAGGGGTCTTTAGCAGTGGGAGGAAACCGGAGGACCCAGAGAAAACCCACGAGGTTGGACAGGCGACCCTACTCCTTGTCACGTACAACCGGGGATTCGAAACCACGCCAGTCGACTCAATGACAGACTTTATGATACAGCGCGCGCGCTAACCATTCGGCCATCCAACCCACCCCCTTATCTAAATATGGAATATATCTAAATATGGAATATATGTAAATAAGTGTTTATTTATCCTATTGTTTTACAGAGAAAGGTTGTTTGAAAATCAAATGTATGACCAATGGTAAGATACGTATATAGTATTCCATTAACCACTTTATTAATAGTATCCACAATACATTCCAATAACTATAATCTTGTAATTTACTTATAAGATTAAATTTCATCAGATAATCTGTGGATTATTCTGCCAAATAACTAGACATATCCCGTGCATTGCTTTGCCAAATTGCATGTAATGATATTTACATAGGTAATGCCCCCGTCAGACCAGGTTGGCATCCTTATACTGCACTGCTGCGACCGTACGGCGACCAGAAAATGCACAAGGTTGCCGGCAAACGTGAACACAACGCGAGAAAATGTCCCAAAGAATTACAAACTTGAACAATGTCGCTTTCTTACAGCTTTTCAGGTCAGGTCGCAGAACCTTGGCGTTTGTTTTAAGCATGGTTAAAGCAAACGCCGTGACTTGGCAACAATGGAGCACGACTTCTGGCGTTTCCACCATGCTTTTTTCCTGCGACAAATTAAATTGTAAAACATTTTTGTTATGTATTGGAAAAATAAATAAAGGCGTTTGACGTATTTGTAGGTAAAAATTATTTCCTATTTAGTGTAAATGGGTATTAAAATGACTAAAAGGCAGCATTCCGCCCAAAGCAGTAACGTCTTATGTAAACAATAAGTGTGATGACCCTCCTTGTACAAGTAAATATTATTTATTTATATTAAAGACAGTTGTACGTGACAAGGAGTCGGGTCGCCTGTCCAACCTCGTGGGTTTTCTCCGTGTCCTCCGGTTTCCTCCCTCTGCTAAAGACCCCTACGCGGAGGCGAATTATTGAAATAAAATTGAACCATGTGTTTGTCCCGTTAAACCCCATTTCTCTCCCCCCCCCCCTTAAACCCCATCTCTCTCTTGGGTGGGAGGGGGGTCTAAATCAACAGAGACGCTTTCTGAGCGATTTCTGGCTAATAAAATTACTCAGCAATGATGTGAAATTCTATTTCTTTTCTAATTCCCTTACCATGAAAACACAGTAAGGTCACACTCTTTATCCGATTTTGTTTACAATGTACGTTTAGAACCGAAGATCTCGGCACATTATAGGACCGCCACTTCCTGGATTATGGCCCCTGATTGTACAAACAATCACATTTCAGCTTGTGGACCCTGTAGAAGTCACAGTTTTTATTTGATTGTAAAAACCGTTCCAATATATCAAAGTTACACAATATTACCGTGGAGTTCAAATTTCTGGAAAATCAGATCGAAACTACCGGACAAAATGTCCGCTCCCCTTAAAAGGATGTAATACCTGGGTAAGATTTAAATATTAAGGGCATTTGCAGATTTCGTCAAAGGTCACGAGATGTAACTAGCGCCAACCCTAACCCTTACAATAACCCACCTTCCTACAGCCTGGTTGAAATAAAGCGTACAGTGTTATTCCCAAACAAGGCCTAATTATTATGGAAGACCAAATGGGACAATATTCATGATTCTTGTTTCTACATTCCAGTTTGAACATTTTAGACATGAACGCAACATTCTAAACTAATGATTCTTGTTTCTACATTCTTATGTCAACATTTCATGCACAAAATCAACATTTTAAACAAAAAATTGACTTTATGTTTCATTTTCGGCATTTTATCTGTAACTTTTGTATATCATTAAATATTAAAATTAAAAAATAATTTCTTAATTTTACACGACAAAGAAATCAATTCATTGGTTTCTGAAAGTATCAAAAAAAATTCTGGAATTTGAACTCTTATGAAAATATTTTCTATGTTTCAAAAAGTCTTGAAAGTAAAATCTTGAAATGAAAATGTCCAGAAAAATATCATGAATTTATCAACATTATTACACCAGAGGGCGTTAGCGTATGTATACAACTTTGATACAGAGAGAGAGAGAAATGGGGTTTAAAGTCCACTCGACACAAACTAGGTCATTTCAGGACTAACATATGGTTTAATTTTATTTACATAATTCGCTTGCGCATAGGGGTCTTTAGCAGTGGGAGGAAACCGGAGGACCCGGAGAAAACCCACGAGGTTGGACAGGCGACCCTACTCCTTGCCACGTACAACCGGGGATTCGAAACCACGCTAGTCGACTCAATGACAGACTTTATGATACAGCGTGCGCACGCTAACCATTCAGCCATCCAACCCCCCACTTTGATACAGACTATAGATTAGAAATCAAAAGTAGACTTTTCCACGAGTGGAAGTGTGCCCCTGTTGTGTTTACAGTACACCTAATTAGTTGCATGAAACAGAAATTAAGCTCGAGATATAATAACAATACATATAACTTTTATAATTTAATCAGCTAGAAAAATTAGGACAAACGCCTTTCTTACATATTCGCTGTTATTTGTTTACTTTTTCATATGTTTACAAATTACTTAATTAGACCCACACGTGTTTCGAATATGGCAAAAATGGATGATAATGCTGTGTTTTAAATGGAATCTATTCACTGTTATTTGTTTACTTTTTCATATTAACTATAACTATAGGATAGTGTTTGCAAATTAGACCTACGCGTGTTTCGAGTGGAAAAATCTACTTTTGATTTCTAATCTATAGTCTGTATCAAAGTTGTACACATACGCTAACGCCCTCTGGTGTAATAATGTTGATAATTCATTATATTTTTCTGGACATTTTCATTTCAAGATTTTAACTTCAAGACTTTTTGAAACATAGAAAATATTTTCATAAGAGTTCAAATTCCAGATTTTTTTTTAGATACTTTCAGAAACCAAAGAATTGATTTCTTTGTCGTGTAAAAAATTAAGAAATTATTTTTTAATTTTAATATTTAATGATATATAAAAGTTACCGATAAAACGCCGAAAATGAAACATAAAGTCAATTTTTTGTTTAAAATGTTGATTTTGTGCATGAAATGTTGACATAAGAATGTAGAAACAAGAATCATTAATTTAGAATGTTGCGTTCGTGTCTAAAATGTTCAAACTGGAATGTAGAAACAAGAATCATGAATATTGTCCCATTTGGTCTTCTATAAATTATAAGTGTTGATTTGTCAGTGGTGCGGGTTGTGGGGCCAGGGCCGTAACTAGCTCAGGTCAACGAGGGGCACGAGAAGTGTTCTCAGAGGGTGCTGTAAAATTGGTGAACAATGTATATCTATTGTTTTTATGGTCGACAATTTTTTTCACTGGGGGGGGGGGGAATTTTTCCCTGCCCCCCCCCTAGTTACGGGCCTGAGTGGGGCCTGACAAGTAGCTGTCTAGTCGTTTGGGAGAGACAAAAACGTAGGTCCTGTGTTCACATTGTCGTGCACGTTAAGCATCCCTTTGCAGTTGGAATTTCCCACCAGAGCACACTGTATGTCTGTCTGTTCGGGGTTGGGGGCTACACTAGGTCTACCCCGAGTCTGAAATTTGGGTATAGGGGTAGCTCGGACCGGGGAGTAACATAGGCCAGGTGGCGTTAGTCTACCACTTCTGGTTTCGGAGTTATGACCCCCGAGCGTAGGGGTAGCTCGGACCGGGGAGTAACATAGGCCAGGTGGCGTTAGTCTACCACTTCCGGTTTCGGGGTAATGACCCCTGAGCGAAGCCGGGCATTCTTCTAGTAGTTTGATATTGTTGTTTGTAATCATATATTATTGATTTGGTTATAGTATCTTGTGAAGTTGATTCTGGTTGTCTTCTTGGGAGTTGTATTAATGGAACCTGTATCGGTAAATAATCTTTATTCTATTTATAACATCATCCCCCCATCATTTTATGAACCGATTTTATATTTATTTGAATACGACAAAAGACTCGAGCACCCCTCGTCGTCATGACAACCAACATAACGTTATGACTTTCAGTATCGTACTATAGGTTTACACACTGTCTGTTTACAAACATTCATGGGATCACGTGGCTAAGTGGGTAAGACGCTGGCTCGCTAGCCTGGAGGTCGGGTGTTCGATCCCTGCATTGGCCGAGAAAGTTCATCCAGATTTTCCGGCGTAGTTCCCCCTTGTCAGTGATGCAGGACGGAGGGCCTGACAAAGATAGCTGTCTAGTCCTTCGGATGAGACGGAAAACCGAGGTCCCGTGTATATATTGGAATGCACGTAAAAGACCCCTTGGCAGTTGGAATTCGATATAAGAGTCTTCATTAGCCCAGTCGGAGCAAAACAGTAGGACGTTAAACCCCATTTCATTTCATTTCATTTCACAAACATTCAATAATTTAATGTACTTGGTACATGTCACCAACATTTGGATAGAATTCAGAATGGCAGAAAAAATAACAAAAATGTTGAAAACAGGAAAATTTCCTTTAAATGGATTCTAATACAAGACTTCTGTACAACAGAAGATCGGTTTCGCAATCTGATTAAAATACAGATCTATATTTCGTTTCGTTTTTTTTATACTTTCGATGGCCTACACTACATGAAGATCTGACCGGTTGTAGCGATAGGTCGCGTCAGAGGTCATACTAGTGCTTTTGACCCTATGACTTCAGACATTTGATTAACCAATCAGCATTGATGTTACTAGTGGATTACCCACAGTTCCATGCAAACCACACCTAAAGCTCACCGTAACAGATTGTTTCATTGGCTAATCCCTCACACCATTCAGAACACGTCAATGATAACAACTCTTCCAGATCCTAGTGTAGTAAAATAAAATTTTGGACTATAAAGACGAAACGAAATAGGTTCTGTGTTTTGATCAGATTGATCGGTTTCGTAAATATAGACCATTTTTTTTTTTACATTTTTCAGGTGGTCAATGTGGAAAAACATATTGCCTTCCATACTAATGTTTAACCCAGATTGAAGAATAAACAGCTTGTTCTTTCTTTGTGGCTTTATTGAGTTTACCTCCTGCCATCCAAGTTATCTTCCGTAAGAGAGAGAAATGGGGTTTAATGTCCACTCGACAACAAAACTAGGTCATTTCGGGACTAACATGGTTTAATTTTATTTCAATAATTCACTTGCGCGTAGGGGTCTTTAGCAGTGGGAGGAAACCGGAGGACCCGGAGAAAACCCACGAGGCTGGACAGGCGACCCTACTCCTTGTCACGTACAACCGGGGATTCGAAACCACGTTGGTTGACTCAATCACAGGTCTTATGATACAGCGCGCACGTGCTAATCATTTGGACATCCAACCCCCCAAATACGTGGATGAAAAGATGGAAAAAGAAGATGCCTGGGCAAACTTTCACCCATAGTACACTGTTTTAAAGGTTTGTCAATTCATACAGCACAGTTAAGCTCATATTTTATGGTTTTAGTTTTCAAATTCGGGGGTCATGGTGGCTAAGTAGGTAAGACGCTGGCTCGCTAGCCTGGAGGCCGCGTGTTCGATCCCTGCATGGGACGAGATAGTTAATCAGGATTTTCCGGCGTGGTGATGCAGTGATGCAGGACGGAGGGTCTTGCAAGGGCAGATGTCTAGTCAGTCGGATGGTACAAAAAACCGAAGTCCCGTGTACACATTTCCGTGCACGTAAAAGATCCTTGACAGATGGGATTCGATATAAGAGGAGGCTGCAGTGCTGCGGTCCGGGCAAAATTTCCCTCATAGCACACTGTATGGCGTATGCTCATCTTCATCAGCCCAGTTCGGAGCAGAACAGTAGGAAGTTAAACCCCATTTCAAGAACGGCCAGAACTTTATCTAAATCTTACATAATGTATCTTAAAGTTTCAACAAAATCGGATCAGGGGCCATAATCCAGGAAGTTACGTTCGGTATACGGGAATATCGAAAGGAACCGAGACCTTTGGGGGATAAACCTATATTTCAAGTTTCCTCAAAATCAGATAAAAAATGTGACGATACAGGGGCGACAATATACGTCCACATAAAAAAAATGACAAAGACAGTGTTATATGGAAGCATGATAATTTATTGATAATAAGAAAACCACATTTCTACTATCAAACTTGGGTGTTTAATTTATATTTAGCATCTCTGTCTTTATTAATCCAGTCGGAGCAGAACAGTAGGACGTTAAACACCCGTTTCATTTATATTTATCACTAGAAATTATACACCACAAGAGAAGACAATATATAGATTTAAAATTTCATTTTATATTCATCCACTTATCTCGAATTCCAACTGTAAATGGATCTTTTACGTGCATGCCAATGTGTACACGGGACCTCGGTTTTTCGTCTCATCCGAACGACTAGACAGCTGCCCTTGTCAGGCCCTCCGTCCTGCATCACTGACAAGGAGGAACCATGTCGGAAAATCTGGATGAACTTTCTCGGCCAATGCAGGGATCGAACACTTGACCTCCAGGCTAGCGAGCCAGTGTCTTACCCACTTAGCCACCGTGATCCCCTATAAACATTGAAAGGCAATAAATTCATCTCATGCTGTTTATAGTAAATGTATTATAAACCATTCTTATTTCTAATTGTCAATAACATTTACCCCGGTTGCATACCTCATAATTTTGAGCCCATGGCACATTTCTGGATTCATTTAAAGGAGCTAAGTCGCTAATATTTGGGACCTAGAAATTGACACAAATGGGTCGCAACGCATACATTAATGTAATATGAATGGATATAAATTGATTTACATTCAATCGTTTCTGTTTTTACTGTAATTTCTAATCAGTTAGGTTCGGCGACATACGCCAGTATTCTCAATCGAATTTCAATCTCTAGCTTCTGGTTATTCCAGTCTACGCCGATAGTATTTATTGGGCATGCCCTCCAGATAAGAATATAGCGTCACCGTTTGCCATGACTTGTGGAATATGCCTAGCCTCGTTTTTCGAGTCCCTTATTACAAATAGCGCTGAAACGCATTATGGTACACGATTCGTGTAACAATTGTAAAATGTTTATTTTGTCTTAAATATTGGATATCAGAAGACCATCTTTTCCCGGTAAGATCACAACATCAATGTTGATTTAAACCGACAATTAAATCGTGTTTTCAATGTCGAAGATTTTGGATGATATTGAGTTAGAGACTTAGCTACTTTAATTTGTTATTTTATGGATTTACTTCCTGTAATCGGAGTAAAATATTTACATGCAGTGATTAATGAGACTTTTTTATTTTTTGAAATAAAACAGATCACCCAGTCCTTTTGAAGTGAGATTGGTGGATAGCCGAATGGTTAGCGTGTGCGCGTTGTATGATAAGGTCTGTCATTGAGTCAACTGGTGTGGTTTCGATTCCCCGGTTGTACGTGACAAGGAGTAGGATTGCCTGTCCAACCTCGTGGGTTTTCTCCGGGTCCACCGGTTTCCCCCTACTGCTAAAGACCCCTACACGATAGCGAATTACTGAAATAAAATTGAATATGTTAGTCCCAAAATGAACTAGTTTGTGTCGAGTGGACGTTACCCCCCTTTTGATGTGAGGCAGGATTATCTGAGAGAGAGAGAGCGAAATGGGGTTTAATGTCCACTCGACACAAACTAGGCCATTTCAGGACTAACCCATGGTTCAATTCTATTTCAATAATTCGCAATTGTGTAGGGGTCTTTACATGGCATAAAAATCAACAAGTTGATGGTGGCTACTAAATGGCAGAAGCAGAACCGGAGGACACAGAGAAAACCCACGAGGTTGGAAGGCAACCCTACTCCTTGTCACGTACTACCAAGGAATCTAAACCCCGCCAGTTGACTCAATGACAGACCGTATGATACAACGCGCACTCGCGTGCTAACCATTTGGCCATCCACCCCCCAGATTATCTGAGAACCAGGGCCCTGTTTCACGAAATCTTAACTAAGATAAAATCCAAATTTTAGTAATTTGATTGGATAATATTAGTTTGATTTTAGTTCTTAGCCAATCAAACTTGAAGTATCTACTAAAATTTGGATTTTATCTTTAGTTAAGATTTCGAGAAACAGGCCCCAGCATATTTGTTTTTATATGGCCTAATAACTACATATACATCATATTCAATAAACCACACATATATATATATATTACTAATTCTTTCATTCAAATTTAATTTAATTCATTTTATAGAATAATATATACATGGAACAGTCATACATTATTATTTAAAGATACAAGAGTTAAACCTGCCTATTGCAGGTGTTTTTTCTAGCTTCAATGTTATATAAATTATTAATTGGACAATTATTCATATGACAAGCCCACAATCACCTCTCTAGCTCTTCAGATGGCCATCATATTAAATGCTTTAGAACATATTCGCCATTTAATAACTTAACGCTAAAATGGATTGGATAATCAAGACATTGTTTATTATTGTAGCAAGGTTACTTGACAATCAAGAATATATTGTCAAATCTTCAAACTCTCATAACTTTGCATCTTTAATTCTCGTAGTTGATGAGAGAAACCCCTCTAGAGTAAGTATGGCTGTTTCTATAAATATTTATTTCTTCATAAAACAAACATCATTCCTTCCATCTTCATCATTCTACCATATAATATTCAACACAAGTCGTGCTGGCGGGCTTGACAACCTCGTCACAATATTCAACAGAAGCCTTGCTAACAGACTGGACAACCTTGTCACAATACTCAACACAAGTCTTGCTGGTGGACTCGACTACTACCTTGTCATAATACTCAACACAAGTCTTGATAGAAGACTGGACAACTTTGTCACAATACTCAACCAAAGCCTTGTTAGTGGACTGGATAACCTTGTCACAATACTCAACCAAAGCCTTGTTAGTGGACTGGATAACCTTGTCACAATACTCAACACAAGCCTTGCTAGTGGACTGGACAACCTCGTCAGAATACTCAACACAAGCCTTGCTAGCGGACTGGTACACTAGACAAAATTAAGTTCTTTGAATGTGCTTGATGCAGTTAATCGGGGTGTGAAAAAAATTGGAATTAACTGCGACTGACACATATATGTGATGACCAGTGATATTTATTAAGCACAATGAAAACACGGACGAAAAAGAAGAAAACTGAAATGTCTACATGACGTAAGCTATTTGATTGGCCAGTAGTAGATTATATAAGGCGGTGCTCAATTGTCAGTCTGGAACGTCTTGAATTGACAGAATTACAATTAAGTGTCGTGGAATTCCGACAGTCGTGACAACGGAGGCGGTGTGAGTAAAATCGTGACGTAATTAAACACAACGAATATGTTTCAGCTGTCATGATTGGTTGAGATATTTTCTTATGCAGTCAGGGAATGCGGTGTTTTTTTGGATTAAGAGAACTTAATTCCGGAACGTTCAATCAGGTAACCACAAGGTATTTGGACAAAGGGAAGTAACTACAGTTAAGATGCTGTCAAGTATAGATTTATCTACGTAGGTAATTCTCTAAACGAGAAATGGGGGAAGGGGGTGATTGTGACTGTGAGTCTAGAACATTAAAATCTGGAAGTATTTGAACATTCCAAATTGATGAAATTTAAATGGAGTGACATTGATGCAAGTTCTACTAGTTCTAGTAACAGATTTGAGTCGAGATGCATCAGCTATAGTGATTGATCCAGATATTATTGTTGCCTTGTTGCCTACAAGTCTTCCGTTACTAATTTCAAACAGGTGATTGAAAGAATTTAATTCCAGAAACCTCAATGAGTATGCTTAACCCTAACAAGTCGATTTCACATTGTTCACAAAGTTTTAACACAAGTTCATTTCAACAATTTTCACACTTCTTCACTACTTTCACTTTAGCACTACAAGTCAGATATTTAAATATAATATGCAGATATTCTCTACTTTCACTTTGTCACTATAAGTCAATTATTTAAATAAAATATGCAGATTATTTTTCTTTATTTAAAGCTTGAACAAATTCTTCTAATTTTTCTTGTATCTGTCGAACACGTTCTGAAATAGAAGAAAAGGAAAATGTCGGACAAAAATGCTTAAAAATTTGGAATAGCTGAATGGGTTGAAAGCTGTAGAGAAGTTGTTGTGTGTGGACTGATTAAAATACAGATCTATATTTTCGTTTCGTTTTTTTTTTTATACTTTCGCTGGCCTCTACTACATGAAGATCTGACCGTTTGTAGTGGAAGGTCGCGTCAGAGGTCATACGAGCGGCTTTTGGACCTATGACATCAGACATTTGATTAACCCATCAGCATTGATGTTTCTAGTGGAATACCCACAGTTCCAAGTACTTGCCGTAACAGACCGTTTCATTGGCTAATTCCTCACATCAACTAGAACACAGGTTATATTCCAGATTCTAGTGTAGTAAAGACAATAAAAACGATCTTTTGAACTATAAAAAC